AAAACCGATTTAAAGTACGAGGCTTTAAGTTTTCTTTATTTTCTGCCGAAAACCTATACTAAACACAAACTACGTCAACCACAAAACAAGTGTTACATTGGTGACGCCATCCATTTACGAATCAAAAATTATTGTTATATCGAAATTGGCATATTTGGATACAGAAATACAAGTTAATTAGAACATGGACATTAGACTAAGTAGGCAGTAGGCTAAGGGCGGGTATTATAAAACTACTTTGAGAGTTAACTTAAAGTTAACTTCTGAAAATACATGTAATTCAAAAAGTTAACTTCAAGTTAACTGTCAAAGCAGTTTTATAATACTCGCCCTAAGACTCTTTGAGAATTTGGAAAAAATAAAAAAATTGAAAATTGTACCAAATATGCCAACGTCGTACCAGCGTACTTTTTCAAAACGAATGGTACCAAACCTGATACAATTGTACCACCTCTGGCAACACTGAGGAGCAGCCATATTGCTTTTGCATAAGATTTTCCATAAAAATGAAAAACTTATGGAGCTGTGTTATGCGCGGCCAATCAGAATACGTCGCTGCAAGTCACGTTATTTTTGACTTTGACATGACATGATTATGTTTATTAATATTTATGCTTTTGTTATGAAAACAATTAAACTAACGAAACCTCAAGTGCCTAATTCACAGTGAAAAAATTAAAAAATCATTCAAATAAACACAACGGAACAAACAAAAACAACTCATCTCATAACCTACAAAATAAATGTTAATGTATGACAGGATTCCCTTAATTTGATTGGTCGAACGCCTTATATGGTTTGGGTTTTGTGTGTTTTGTCTGGTTTTGCATTACCTATGGTTATGCGTTATGCAAAGTTGTCTGGGATGGCCTTTATTTAATTAATTATTCAACAGCTTTTTGATAAAAGAGCAAAAAAAACATATTTTTCTATTTGAGATGTGTCAACGTCGCTTTCAATATCATTTGCCACTTTTGACAGTCGGCCATTTTGGAGTGACACGTTTTCGTTTTTATCCAGTTTTTCCACTTTTCCAGGGTTTTTTCTATCAGGAAAACTGATTAAAAATGCGGGGCTATGAATTTTCTTCATTTTCTGCCAAAATTTTCCTCTTTACAATTACTGTATTCCTTTTATACATTGAGTTACACCAAACGAGCTCCTCGGAGTCACTCCAAAACACACAATTAAGATTTTATCATTATTTTTTAACATTAACATTACCACCGTCCTTACCTAAAAGGGCTTTTTGCACCCCCCGCAAATTTGGTGCATCAGGGGAAATGAGGATGCACTATGAGCGACTCGAGTGCTTAACGCACTTTTAAAAGGAACGTTTAAGCTTTTGACATTGAGGAGCTCCGACTAACTCAACGGGTAAAAGGAATACAGTAAATGGGGTAAGTAACGAAAACTTTACTCTTATCAAGTAGGCTTTAGAATGTCATTTTTATTAATTTTCTTTGGATTTTCCACTTTTCCAGGGCCTCTTTGATCACAAAAAAGTGGTTTTAAGTGCATGGCTTTGAATTTGCGTCTCTTTCTGTCACTTTTAGACAGACCAAGCAATTAAATTGTATCCTACTTTATCTCTCTCTTTATCTCACTCATTTATAATATTGCATTTGCTGCATCAATATAATCACTATTTTTCTTCAAAAATACAATCAAACATTAAAAATTTGCTACTTTTCCAGGCTGCAAATTCATCGGAAAATGAGGAAAAATCTGAAAAAACATTCCGTTTGAGATTGTAATTGGGGCAACATCGCTTTCAATCAAGTAGGCTTTGTAATAAATGTCATTTGCCACTTTTGACAGTTGGCCGTTTTGAGTCTACATAGGTACAGTTTTCTTTCGAATTTTCAGCTTTTCTAGGGTCTTTTTGGATTTCAGTTATTATTTAATCATTCAACTGCGGTTTCATTAAATTACCCAAAATTATTGTTTTTTTAGGTGGCCACACCTCTTGTAGCCAACTTCACTCTAGGTTTCAATCGTGTAGGCCTTGGAATGCCATTTATAAAGCCTGACAGTGACATTTGACAGTCGGCCAATTTGAGTGACGCTTTTTCGTTTTTGTCCCGGTTTTTCCTCGAATTTTCCAATTTTCTGGGACTTTTGAAGTGCGGTGCGGGGCTTTAGATTTGTAAATTACCCATTTAAAATGATTTTTTTTAGGTGGCCACACCTCTTGTAGCCAACTTCACTCAGGTTCCAATTGAGTAGGCCTTGGAATGCCATTTAAAAAGCCTGACAGTGACATTTGACAGTCGGCCAATTTGAGTAACGCTTTTTCATTTTTGTCCCGGTTTTTCCTCGAATTTTCCAATTTTCTGGGACTTTTGAAGTGCGGTGCAGGGCTTTAGATTTATAAATTACCCATTTAAAATGATTTTTTTTTAGGTGGTCACACCTCTTGTAGCCAACTTCACCCAGGTTTCAATCGAGTAGGCCTTGGAATGTCATTTATAAAGCCTGACAGTGACATTTGACAGTCGGCAAATTTGAGTAACTCATTTTCGTTTTTGTCCCGGTTTTTCCTCGAATTTTCCAATTTTCTGGGACTTTTGAAGTGCGGTGCGGGGCTTTAGATTTGTAAATTACCCATTTAAAATAATTATTTTTTAAGTGGCCACACCTTTTGGTAGCTAACTTCATTCAGGTTTCAATCGAGTAGGCCTTGGAATGTCATTTATAAAACCTGACAGTGACATTTGACAGTCGGCCAATTTGAGTGACGCTTTTTTGTTTTTGTCCCGGTTTTTCTTCGAATTTTCCAGTTTTCCGGGACTTTTCCAGCGGGAAAAGTGGTTTTGAAGTGCGGTGCTATAGATTTGCGTCATAATAAAAATTTCCAATTTTCAAAACGGGGTAAGTGGGAAAAACTTCAGTTCTTAAAAACCAAGCTTCTGAAGTTTTTAAATATTGTTCTAAAACCTGTCAAAATGCTGCTGGAAAGTGTTTTGGAATATTCTAAATGGCTTATTGAAGTTCTAAAGTGTTCTAATTTGGCTTGAAAAATTTTGGAGCATTTTAGAAGTTGTTCAGTAATTTCTAAATGGTTCTGACATGTTTTCAAGTATCTTAGACATTGGTTAGAGCCCTTTTGAAGGAAGCTCCAAAGTGTTCTAAATTGATTCAAAACAGTTCTAAACGGTTCTGAAATGACTCTAAATTTTTCCTGAAAACTCTGATTTGGATTTGAACAGTTTTGGATACTTATTTAAAGGTTCAAATTTCTACAGCAATTTAAATTCACTCTTGAACACTTTCAGAAATGCGTTTTGTAACTTTTAACCTGCATCCTGAGATTCTGGCGCTTCTCAAAATGTTTTTGGAAATTTTAGAGTGTTTTGGAGTGTTCGAAAATGGGTTTCAAACTTCTGAATTGTTCTAAAATGCTTTCGAAAATTGTTTGGAGCACTCTAAAATGGTTCTGAAGTTTCCGAATTGTTCTGAAGCATCACAGAATCCTTTTGGAAATTCTGAATTAAATTTTAAGTGTTCTGAATTTTCAACAAGGCTTATTAAAGTTCCTCTAGATATCCACAAACGACATTTGAGACGTTTTTTAAGGCATCTTGAAGACATCTTAAAGACGTTGTATGTTACAAAATCCAACTTGGAACAATTGAGGAACTTCAGAGTTATTTTGGAACAATAAGGATTCAATTTAGAACTGCAAACCTTTCAGAACCCTTTTGAACCAATTTCAATTTAGATATTACTGAAAAACTTCTAGAATGCTCCAGAACTCTTTACGCCAAGTTAGAACACGTTGGAACTTCAATAAGCCATTTAGAACGTTCCAAAACAAGCAAAAGGCTTCAGAACGAGATTTTGATTCCAAAATCACGACTTTGAAGTTTGATTTTCCACATCAAGAAAAAAATTGAGGTACCTATTTCTATTATTTTCTCCTAAAAAATTGCTTCAAACAGAAATACCCCAAGGACAAAGAACAAAAATTCCCCATCTAATAACCAAATAAATGTACATGAAGACTTTGTTTAACCACAGCAAACAGACGTTATTTTCTTAAGACGATGGTCGTTTTCGAAGTATGTCTCGAGCAAACACACGACAAATGAATATATTTCTCTTTTGGTTGGTTTTCTACGAAACCATCATCGACAAACATGGGTTCCATAATAGATATATTAACATTACAGAGAGTCGGTACACAATGGAAAAATAAAAATTACCTGAAAGATTTTGAGCATGAGGGATTTTTATCTGAGAAACAGTAGGACTGGAAATGAAGATTTCAATTACTTGGAACCATTTTTTTGGTTCTAAAACAATAATTCGGCCGTTTGGAAATGAGATGTTCTTCAATAACTATTGGTTTTCAGAAGAAACTTTCATTGATATAGCTTTTAAGTTACTTCATATGCTTTTTCAAGTTTGAGGCGACTCTATATTAGAGCAAAGTCTATTAGAGCTTTTCTCATTTTATAAAGACTCTTCTTTTTCGAAATTGAGCCAGTGCCTCCAAAACAAAAATAGAGAAAATTTCACTACATTTTACATTTAGGGCGGGTATTATAAAACTGCATTGACAGTTAACTTGAAGTTAACATTTTGAATCACATGTAATTTCAGAAGTTAACTTTAAGTTAACTCTCAAAGTAGTTTTATAATACCCGCCCTTAGTCAATCCCTTATTAATATTGGCCAAACCTGACAACTTTTCAATAATTTATAAAGCATTTTCCATCATACTTCATTCAACGTCTTATACAGATTTGAAATTGAGGCAATAATGCCTCTCATGATTTAAAAATTGGGGGTAAAAATTTTCTTCAAATAATTACACACTCAAATTCCTTGACCCGAAAGAAATGTGATGTTATGTTATTCAAGGTACCTAACACACTGCTGATCTCAATTATTGATGGTACCTACTACTTTGGGGTACAATAGGAAACAATATTTGATAGTACCTTACTTTGGGGCACAGGCACAATAGGAAACAATATTTGATAGTACCTTACCTATTCCATAAGAAACAACATTCTCTAAATCCTTTTAAATTCCATCGCGTAAAAGTCCATATCACTAAAAACACTATATACTTATCCGAAACGAATCAACAATGGTCTAGGAATTACCGGACAAACCGCAATAACTGAATAGACGAAAACAGTACCGTCGGGTGGTACTTTTTGTGTCCGAGTCGAAAATCGAAAAAGGATTGAGGCGCAGGTAGTTATTTAAGGTAGCTAGTTCGGTGGTACCAGGCGCTGTAGAAGAACGCGCGCGCTGACTTAGAACTGGGCACGGACTGAGGAGCGAGAGGTACTCGCGGTGGTACCCGTGTCGGTCGCGGTACCCACGATGATGCGACGAAATTACAGGCCAGAGTTTTTTATATTTTGGTTGAATTTCTATAAGTATTATTGGCAAATTTAATAATGCCTTGAGAAGGCAAAATGATAAACTGAGAAATACACAGAATGAAGTGGAAGAAATTGAAGAAAAAAGAAGGACTTCTCAATTCTTTTATATAATTATTTCTAATTGTCCATTACTTTTTGGAAGGTTGCTGGTGCGTTTTTTAATCCAAAGGGAATTCTATTGACACTACTGAACTTCCAGGTTATGGTAGGTAGTTCATCGATCTTCTGTAGCCATCCCATAGTCCTTATCTTCTTGGAAAATTTGTAATTTTTCAGATGGTAGTACCCATCCTACTATATCCTCTATCGTCCTTTATGAATATCACTATTATTTTGATACAAATTCAAAAATTTCTTTTGGCATTTTGATCTCAGAAAAGTGAGGAGGCTTATCTTGATACTAATTCCTGGATGTTATTGCAATAAATCTCTCATTTAGAAAAAAATTGTGCACAATCTTGCAACTTTGCCTTGATAACAAAAACTATTGAAATTTGTAGCGAATTATTCAGACAATTCTATAGAAGCAATGACGCGCTATAAAACGGAGTCGGTAACCGATGGAAAAAAATCAGTCAAGAATCAAATACGATTTCTCGGACAATTTTTTGTGACTCCGGCCTGACGTGAAGTTTATGGGCGCCCTGCACCTGAACCTGAGGAACCTGGTGGGGTCGGCTCGACCTCTCCGGTGCAGCAGTAGCCACGGTCGGGCCTTCCACAGCAGCAGGAGCGTTATTCAACTGTTCTTGTGTTCGAGCCGCCACCGAGGTTCCCCTCTCTTGCTCCGTTCATTCTTCCAATAGAATCCAAAAGCTTAATCTTTTTTCGCTGTTATTATTATTTATGTAGATTTTTAATTTGAAAATGGCATTTTTGATGTTTGTTGGCAACCGATTCCGTTTTATAGGGCGTCGTTGCTTCTGGAATTGTCCGAATGCCTAATTCGTTGGACTATTGCACCGTGAAGTTCCATCATCAATTTCTCCAACTCAGTCTAATACTTCATGTATTAACATTGTGTAGTTATACCTTATGATTTAGATTTTGAAAAATTTTGAAAGGTCATAACTTTCTTTCTATTATAGATAGAAAGCTGAAACTTTCACTGAATTTTATCCCAATCAAGGGACTACAATCCCTGAAAATTTCAGCTCATTTGCACTTATAGTTCTTGAGATAAAATCGTGTTAAGCAATTTGGGGTGATTTATCAATTTTTCAATTTTTCTGAGTGCCTTTTTTCATAGATTTCAGCTTCAAATCTGAGAATAATTTAGTGTATGGAATTTGGGGGATCCCAAGTGATCATTAGGACACAAAATCTCTACCTTATGATTTAGATTTTGGAAAACTTTGAAAGGTCATAACTTTTTTTCTATTACAGATAGAAAGCTGAAACTTTCACTAAATTTCATCCCAATCAAAGGACTACAATCCCTGAAAATTTCAACTCATTTGGACTTATAGTTCCTGAGATAAAATCGTGTTAAGCAATTTGGGGTGATTTATCAATTTTTCAATTTTTCTGAGTGCCTTTTTTCATAGATTTCGGCTTCAAATCTGAGAATAATTTAGTGGATGGAGTTCATGGGATACCAAATGACCATTAGGACACAAGATCTCAACAAAAAAAAATTGAAATTTCATCGTTTTATTAAGAAGCCTTACGATTTAGATTTTGGAAAGCTTTGAAAGGTCATAACTTTTTTTCTATTATAGATAGAAAGCTGAAACTTCCACTGAATTTCATCCCAAGGGACTACAATCCCTGAAAATTTCAGCTCATTTGCACTTATAGTTCCTGAGATAAAATCGTGTTAAGCAATTTGGGGTGATTTTTGAAGTTTTTTAATTTTTCTGAGTGCATTTTTTTATAGATTTCGGCTTCAAATCTGAGAATAATTTAGTGTATGAAGTTTGGGAGATGTTGATTGACCATTAGGATACAAAATCTCGACAAAAAAAAAATTGAAATTTCATCGTTTTAGTAAGAAGGTACCAACCAACCTTATGATTTAGATTTTGGAAAACTTTGAAAGGTCATAACTTTTTTTCTATTACAGATACAAAGCTGAAACTTTCACTGAATTTCATCCCAGTTAAAGGATTACAATCCCTGAAAATTTTAACTCATTTGGACTTATAGTTCCTGAAATAAAATCCTGTTAAGCAATTTGGGGTGAATTATCAATTTTTCAATTTTTCTGAGTGCCTTTTTTCATAGATTTTGGCTTTAAATCTGAGAATAATTTAGTGGATGGAGTTCGTGGGATACCCAAAGTACTACTATTCCATTATCTAATACACAATTTTATCGAGGTTACATAAAAATTATGTTAAATTCCATTGAAATTAAGCAGAATTCCAATTAAATTATATAGAATGAAATTATGCTGAATTCCGGTGAAATTATACGGAATTTCGATTAAATTATGCTAAATTCCATTGAAATAACGAATAATTTTACTAAAAATAAGATGGAGTTCCATAGAACCCATGCGGAATTTAAACAAAATTTAATTGAATTCCACCGAAATTAGATAAATAAATAAATAAATCAAAAAAACTTTTATTAATCAAAATACTGAGAGTTACAAACTTAATACAAATCTGGCGAAGTCTAGCTATTGCTCAGCTATTTCACTACTGAACCACTAAATGGAATTCTACGAAAAAATGATGTGAAATTCCAGTAAAACTATGCGGAATTACATAGAAATTATGCAAAATTCTAGGAAACCCCTATTGATTTCTATTGAAACTACATGGAATTTCAAAGAATGAAGTAGAATTCCAGTGAAATTAAATGGAATTTTAGTGAAGTTAAATTGAATATTAGTGAAATTTAAAAAAAAAAATCCATAAAATTTCACATAAATTATGCAAAATTCCATAGTCCTATTTATGCAGAATTATATTAAAATTATGCAGGATTCCATAGAAATTATCAGGAAATCCATCGAAATTACATAGAATTTCAATAAAATTTGGTGGAATTCTGTAGTGAAATTGAATAGAATTCCTGTCGAATTCAAAAAACTTGAAAAAACATAGATAAATTTCAATGAAATCCTATGAAATTCCCTAGAATGAAATTCCATGTGAAATTACGCAAAATTCCATGGAATTTCAAAAAATGACGTGGAATTTTGATGAAATTATATGAAATTTTAAAGATATAACGTGGAATTCCATAAAAATTATGCGAAATTCCGAAGTTTTCCAAAAGACACTGAGACAATTTTTGCCTCACAGCTTCTTTAATTTTCATCCGATTTCAACGCAATTGGGCCTCAATTAAAGCCAATTAAATTTTCTACAAACAAGTAGAAATTGAGGACCTTCCACCGACCCCCTCCACTTTTCCAGAATCCAGAGTCCATCAATGCCCAATTAAACTATGACTTCTCTTTTAGGCCAATGGCCAAACCTCCTCCCCAAGTGAATTCTATGAAAATAGATGGTAAACTTCTAATAAATTTTTCATCCCAAATGACCATTAGGACACAAAATCTCAACAACAAAAAAAAATTGAAATTTCATCGTTTTATTAAGAAGTTAGCTACCTTATGATTTAGATTTTGGAAAATTTTGAAAGGTCATAACTTTTTTTCTATTAGAGATAGAAAGTTGAAATTTTCAGCGATACTTATTCCAGTAGAGGACTAAGATTCCTGAAAATTTCAACTCATTTGGACTCATAGTTCCCGAGATCAAATCGTGTTAAGCAATTTGGGGTGATTTATCGATTTTTCAATTTTTCTGAGTGCCTTTTTTCATAGATTTCGGTTTCAAATCTGAGAATAATTTAGTGTATGGAGTTTGGGAAATCCCAAATGACTATTAGGACACAAAATCTCAACAAAAAAAAAATGAAATTTCATCGTTTTAGTATAAGAAGGGAAAACTTTGAAAGGTCATAATTCAAAATACCATTATTCATTCATCAAAGTCAATAACGTTAGAAAGTGGAAATTGTTCGGCGGTTATCTGTTCAAAATAAACGGGTTTTGTTCGTTAATAAAACAATTTAGGATCGGTCTTCTGAGATAGAGGGGGGATCCAAAAATAATAATGTTAGTTTTCTGACTAAGCTGGCAAAGTTCGAGAATACCTACTAGCATTTTGAGGTGTTTGCTCAGTAAACGCGTTTTCAGATCCTTTGTATAAAAATAATAAAATCTTCCTTGGTGAAAGTTTTCGACAATGACACACAGTTCAACCCCTTGTTCAAAATTTAGGAGATTCTTCCATTGGTTATTGATGAAGATGTTTCTTAATGAGACCGTGCAAACCCTGGATATTTTTGTCCCCGATTATCAATAATTGCAGATACTTGTGGGATGTGATTGAATTAGCATGGTTTTTAATAACTGTTCCATTATTAGATGTCTCATTTACCGATACTTTTTTCAAAAGGAAGGGTTTATCTCTAAAGGCTACCCGGTCCGGTATTTCGTCAAGATAAGATTCAATTTCACTTTCCACCATGTTCCTGTTCATGCTATTCAATTCTCTAGTATAATCGTTCAATTTTTCCATCATATTTTTAAGACCATGGAGAAGTTTGCACTCATTATACTCGTAATACCTATTTTGCAATTAATTTTCCTTTTAGCCCCCCTAGAGTGTTAAATAAATAGAATCTGTCAACTAGAAATGAAACTTGAGGACTTTTATTGGAACAAACTGACTGTAATTTTAGAGTTTTCTGATTATACCGGGGTTAAATAAATTAGTTGCTTTTATTGCTGGAATCTGACTCCTATTTTAAGCTCAACACCATTTATAATAGGATCACATTATGGGACTTCACATAGCTCAATATTAATCATTAATTAGACGAGAAATGCATTTATTATCCTACAAATTAAAAATGCTTATCTTTCACCAACCGAAACTGATTTTATTTATTTTTCGATTCAAATTATGTATGTACAATTATTAGCCAAAATCCAAACAACCCCTATAAGAATAAACAAAAAATAATAATAATTCAAAAACTCAAAAATTATTTTACCTATTTCTACAAACTAAATATTTAAACAAATAAAAATTACATAATATTATCCTAATCACTTTCAGAAATGCGGCAAGAGCCTTCCAACGACCTAGAAATACTACTTATAGCATTTTCCTCTGCATTTTTCCTAGCCTTCCTTTTCTTGCATTCCTTCTTGTGCTTGTCCGAATTAACTCCTTCTTGCTCCTCCAAATACTTCCTTTTTTTGTTCAACATTTCTTGGAACTCTTTGGCATTTTTCATGAGCACTGTAGTGGCTGATTTCAATTTTGCATCGAAATCGCGCTTCTTTTTGAGTTTCTTCCTTTCAGCTTTTGATAAGTCGCTGAAATTTAATCGGGCCTCTTCAAAAGCTTTTTGATTATCTTCAACATTGATATTGTTGTTTTCCAAATCGATGCCTTCATCTGAACCGTCGTTTTCGTCTTTTACTGAAGCTGAACCTTCACTGTCAATACTCGTATCTAAATCCTTATTGCAAACTTGTACAGTTACATTATCATTGAATGAAACATGTTTTAGTTTTTTGTTTTTCTTTTTCTTTTTCATTGAAGATTTTATTGAGGTACTTGAAGTGCTAGTAGAACTCACATCCAGGTCAATAGGGGTGTATTTTTCAACTATTGCCTCTTTGGGTTTTTGTTTTTTCAATTTTTTTAGTTTTTTTTCTACTTTGCTGCTGGAGGTTTCATCCAAAGAGACCCTTTTCATTTGTTTTGACAGCAATTTTTCTTGTTTCTCAACTCTAGACAGTTTTCCGCTTAATGTCAAACCGTGCCTGGCCCCTTTGTGTGCAGTTCTGCCACCGCAAGCAGCAAATAATTTCTCGTCACTGAGTTCCACATGAGTTGGTAACTTCAATGGTTCAAATTTAGTTTTATAGTTTTCAGTGCCTTGTTCGGTCAATTTTGAGACTTTGATAAAAGTCCCATACTCCAAAGAATTATTCTTTTTGAAATTTTTAACTGAATAAGATTTTGTGGTTATTTCAACAGAGTTTTTGTCTTTTATTTGTAGTTTTACGTCATTGTTGTCGTCCACTTTCATGGCAATGTTTTCGGCGGCACTATTGTATACCCTTTCCCACCACTTGTTGGTAAATTCTTCCCCAACATCGTAACCTACGCCCAAATTGTCCAATTTTACTTGAGCCTTCAAGGGGGCCGATATGCCGTCTTCTTTTCGGCCCAGGCCTTTACCTGAAACAATAATTATCGTGTGAATAATTCGGATTTTATCTATGATACAGTGAAAGTTATGAATGTTTTCAAAAATGATGAAATTACAAATTTTTTAGGTGGACATTTCCACTTTAAATGAGCATAGTCTGATTATTTTAGAGCCACAGGTGGATCTAGAGGGCTCATTTTCATCTTCTATGGAGCGAAATTCAATTGAAAAAGTGTGAAAACTTCATTTGCAGCTTTGAAGGTTTTAACCAAGGGGTAAACCACCAAGGAATTCTTTTAAAAAAACTTGTGATGAACTTGAAGGAACTCATCGGAATTTATGAAAATTTGGAGAATTTATAGGGAATTTGGAGAAATTTATGGGGAATTTAAAGGAATTTGTGAGGAATTAGAAGGAAATTGTAGAGTCATCACGTCACTGAGGTTCACATTCTTATTATAAAAAACAAGAAACACTAATAAATGAAAATTAAAAAAAAATCTAATTTTGTGTTGAAAGTTGAACATTCATCTTCATTAAAGAAGTTCTCCCAAAATTTCACTTCATGATTTACAGGTCCAAATTTAAAAAATTCAAAACAATAATGAGTACAGTTTTTATAGGCTGATTTCCAAGATTCTTCAGGAAAACTTTGAAATGCGTGAGACTTGAGACTGTATTTTCAACTAATTCAGTTGTTGTAGGTTGGTTTCTAAGATTTTTCATGTTGCTGTTTTCAATGGAAAAATTTGAAATTTTGGGAAAATGAGCCTCTAACCTTCCTCTTAACATGGAAAAAGTTATAAATTTTTCCCTCCACTAGTTTTCCAGCAAAACTTTGAAATGTGTGAGACGGTGGAACTAATTCAGTTTTTTGACAGGTTGATTTCCAAGAATCTTCATGTTGTTATTTTCCACTGCAAGAATTTGAAATTTTGGGAAAATGAGCTTCTCACCTTCCTCTTTACATGCAAAAAGTTTCAAAATTTTCCCTTCAGTAGTTTTCCAGGAAAACTTTGAAATGTGTGAGACTGTATTTTCAACTAATTCAGTTTTTGAAGATTGATTTCCAAGATTTTTCACGTTGCTGTTTTTCACTGGAAAAATTTAAAATTTTGGCAAAATGATGTTCTCACCTTCCTCTTTACATGCAGAAGGTTCCAAAGTTTTCCCTTCATCAGTTTTCCAGGAAAACTTTGAAATGTGTGAGACTGTATTTTCAACTAATTCAGTTTTTGTAGGTTGATTTCTAAGATTTTTCATGTTGCTGTTTTCCACTGGAAAAATTTGAAATTTTGGGAAAATGATGTTCTCACCTTCCTCTTTACACGCAAAAAGTTTCAAAATATTCCCTTCACCAGTTTTCCAGGAAAACTTTGAAATGTGAGAGACTTGAGACTGTATTTTCAACTAATTCAGTTTTTTTCGAGGTTTTTGTAGGTTGGTTTCCAAGATGTTTCATGTTGCTGTTTTCCACTGGAAAAATTTAAAATTTTGGGAAAATGATGTTCTCACCTTCCTCTTTACATGCAAAAAGTTTCAAAATATTCTCTTCTCTAGTTTTCCAGGAAAATTTTTAAATGTGTGAGACTGTATTTTCAACTTATTCAGTTTTTGTAGGTTGATTTCCAAGATTTTTCATGTTGCTGTTTTCCATTGGAAAAATTTGAAATTTTGGGAAAATTAGCTTCTTACCTTCCTCTTTACATGCAAAAAGTTTCAGAATTTTGCCTTCACCAGTTTTCCAGGAGAACTTTGAAATGTATGAGACTGTATTTTCAGTTAATATAGGTTGATTTCCAGAATTCCTTATGTTGTTACTTTCTACTGGAAAAATTTGAAATAATGAGAAAATTATCCTCTAACCTTCCTCTTCACATGGAAAAAGCGAGGGAAAAAGTTTTAAATTTTTCCCTCCACTAGTTTTCCAGGAAAACTTTGAAATATGTGACACTGTAAGTATTTTAAATTAATTCAGTTTTTGTGAGTTGATTTTTAAGATTTTTCATGTTCTTATTTTCCAATGAAAAAATTTGAAATTATGGGAAAATGAGCTTCTAACTTTCCTCTCTACACGCACCTTCCTCTTTACATGCAGAAGGTTCCAAAATTTTCCCTTCATCAGTTTTCCAAGAAAACTTTGAAATGTGTGAGACTGTATTCTCAACTAATTCAGTTTTTGTAGGTTGATTTTCAAGATTTTTCATGTTGCTGTTTTCTACTGGAAAAATTTTAAATTTTGGGAAAAAGAGCTTATCACTTTCTTCTTTACATGCAAAAAGTTTCAAAATTTTCCCTTTTCTAATTTTCCGGGAAAACTTTGAAATATGTGGGAGTGTATTTTCAATTAATTCAGATATTGTAGATTGATTTCCAATATTCCTCATGTTGCTGTTTTCTACTGGAAAAATTTTAAATTTTGGGAAAATGAGCTTTTCACCTTTTTCTTTACATGCAAAAAGTTTCAAAATTTTCCCTTCACTAGTTTTCCAGGAAAACTTTGAAATATGTGAGATTGTATTTTCAATTAATTCAGTTATTGTAAGTTGATTTCCAAGAGTCTTTATATTGTTATTTTCCACTGGAAAAATTTGAAAATTTGGGAAAATGAGTCTCTACCTTCCTCTTCACCTGCAAAAAGTTTAAAATTTTTTCCTTTACTAGTATTCCAGGAAAATTTTGAAATGTGTGCCACAGTATTTTCAATTAGTTCAGATTTCGTAGTTTGCTTTCCAAAATTCTTCATGATTCTATTTTCGACTAAAAAAAAAAATTAAATTCTGGGAAAATGAGCCTCTAACCTTTCTCTTCACATGGAAAAAGTTTTAAATTTTTCCCTCCACTAGTCTTCCAGCAAAACTTTAAAATGTGTGAGACGGTATTGTCAACTAATTCAGTGTTTGACAGGTTGATTTCCAAGAATCTTCATGTTGTTATTTTCCATTGCAAGAATTTGAAATTTTTTGGAAAATGAGCTTCTCATCTTCCTCTTTACAATAATAATAATAATAATAATAATAATAATAATAATAATAATTTATTAACGATCAAAGACCATTTACAATAACATTCATTTACATTAAACTTAAGTAATTCTTAATGTCTATCTTAAACTTATTGAAAGAGGAGTTAAAAAATCAACAGTAGGTGGAAGCCTATTTGCTTTTCTGCATATTCTAGATATAGGTGAATAAAAACCATAATTTGTTACATGGGAGGATACACCAAAGGTTATATTTTGTCGAGTTTGTCTTGTTGGTACCTTAAAATTAATTAGTTGCAATAATGCCGGTGAAACAATTAAACCGTTCAAAACCCTGAACAATGTGCATAGATCAAAATACAATCTTCTTTATTCCAGTGACGATATTTCCAAGAGAGCCAATATGTCACTATATTGAAGTTCATCTCTTGGAATATTTAGTCGATATCCTACATGACGCAGAAACTTTTTTTGGACTCTCTCAATTTCATCGATCCATTTTTTATAATAGGGAGACCATACAGGACAAGCATATTCAGTGACAGATCTGACTACTGCACAGTAAACATTTTTCAATGCATATATGTTATTGAAATCTTTCAGTGAACGAATGACAAATCCAAGCAATTTAATCGACCTATTTTTTAGGTATTCTATGTGAGGTCCAAATGTGAATTCTTTATTAATCATCACCCCAAGGTCCTTTATGATCTCCTCTCTAATCAGTTCCTGATTATTTAATACATAGGAGTATACAATGGGTACCTTCAATCGGTAGAAACTGATTGTACAACATTTACGTACATTAAGTTCCAACTTATTAGACTGACACCACATAGCAAAGCTTTGTAGGTCTTCTTGAAGTTTTAGACAATCACTTTCACAACAAACAACCTTAAAAATCTTCAATTCATCTGCATACAATAAAATTTTGCTGAAACGAATACAGTCCTGCAGATCATTTATAAAGCAGTTGAATAACATAGACGATAGATGGCTTCCCTGAGGCACACCGGAAGATACATTGATTATTGATGACACAAAATTTTTCACTTTCACAACCTGTGTTCGACCAGATAAATAACTGCTCAGCCAAGTCAGTAGAGTTCCGTGAACACCCATTGCCCCAATTTTTTTAATTAAAACTGAATGATTTATTCTATCAAAAGCTTTTGTAAAGTCTGTGTACACAGAATCCACTTGGGAACGTTCTTCCATAGCTTCAACTACAAACTGCTGATATTCTAGCAAGTTACTTATAGTGGATTTTCCTCTTAAAAATCCATGCTGTTCTGGGATTATCTGAGATGAAAGCAGTGGGTATAGGCATTTGTTTACAAAAGATTCCAACATTTTGGACAGAATTGAGTTTTTTGAAATTGCTCTGTAGTTTTTTACATCAGATCTGTCACCATTTTTGAAGATGGGTGTTACATAACTTCGCTTCCATACATCTGGAAAAACTCCACTCGACAAAGAAAGATTGAACAACATGGGATATATTGGATAATACAAATTTTGTGCCCTTCAAAAATTCAACAGGTATGCCATCAGGTCCACAACCTAAGTTGTTGCCTAGCTCTCCTATGGAATTAAGAACATCTAAACTGGTAATATTACAGTATTCAAAATCTAAAAAGAACTTTAAACTTTTGTCTTCGCCCTCATCGCCATTTGTATCAGTCTCATTGTTACCTGTATAAGTTGAAGAAAAATGCTCAGCAAACAGATGAATAGTAGATTCCATGGAGTTACTGGTTGAGTCATTCAAGTGCATAGCATTTGGTAAATTTAAGCCATCTCTTTTTGAGTTAATAAATCTCCAAAACTCTTTTTTATTTATAACTTCATTTTCAAGTTTGGCAATATATTCTGAATGACTTGTAGAAGCTTTTTTTCTGCATTGATGTCACAGGAAAGAAAATTTTTGATAATCTGCAGACAATCTAGTCTTTTTGTATTGCTTGTGAGCATTCTTCTTCTGAAATATCAAGCTTTTGAGCTCAGCATTATAACATCTTGGAAATTTAGGAGTTTTACATCTACATTTGGGAACATAAATATCAATAACATAATATACAACATCATAAAATTTGGTTAAAGCCTCATTAACATTAGAAACATTCAGGATTTCATTCCAATTCATATAAGATAAATACCTATTAATATCCACATAATTACATGCAAAAAGTTTCAAAATTTTCCCTTCACTAGTTTTCCAGGGAACTTTGAAACATGTAAGAATGTATTTTCAATTAATTTAGTTATTGTAGGTTGATATCCAATATTCCTTCAAGCTACTTGAAGGTGATACAAATTTATCTGTATCCAAATCCGAGTATGTATCCTAGCATCATATTATGAAAAAAAGGCTGAACGTTGAAAAAAGGGTTTACTTATTTCCAAATTATTGAAAACGGAATTAGACACATGCTGCACTCAGTCTGATTATGCTGAGGTTCAGATTAAATTTTTTGATTATGATCTTGTAAACCTGTTCAACTTTTAGGAAAAGTTCCATTTAAAATACAAAGAAACAATATACATACCTACCTGAGTTGTTTAAAAAGTAGCTGATGTGTATTATTCTTTGTATTATACAGTATTATATTTGTTTTAATTTCCTAAAATAGTTTTTTTTTATCAATTAGGTAATAATATCAAATGCGGGTTTAGGTTAGTTTACAACACTTGCATTCTGGATTACCGAAAACCAATTATTAATTCTAGCTTTAGAGTCTACTAATGTAACCTTGCATTTGATCCTACTTGATAAACTGCTCTTGTATTTTAACTAAGAAAAAATAAAATTCTTATCACGAGTAATTTTGGGGATTTTCAGGGAATTTGTAAGAGACATTTGTAAGAAATTTGAGAGGAGTTTGGAGGAATTTGCGGGAATTTGGAGGAATTTGCAGGGAATTTAGAGGAATTTGTGGGGTATTTGGAGAAATTTGTGATGTGGTATCTGGAGGAATTTGTGGGAAATTTGAAGAAATTTGCAGGAATTTTGAGGAATTGTTTGCACAAATTCTGGGATGGTGGTTTACCCTTCCAAGGTAAAAGCTAAAGTTAGTAATTCAACTAGAATAGCATTTAAAAGTAGGTAGTATATAGGCGTTGTGGATCAAAACAGAGACAAGACAAAGAACAAAGAGACACTCCTCCCACCTCTCAAGATACCATCACTATCCCCTACTTCGCCCTTTATCCCCCTATCGCGCCTTCTATCCCCCTACCTCTCAAGATACTATACACAACCATCCCTCTACCGAGGCCTGTATCCCCCTAGTTTACTTTCAAGCAATCCCCCTTCCCAGTCAGGTGGAAACCAGCCAAACCAGCAAAATCCAGAACAAAACCAGCAAAATCCAGAACAAAACCAGTGAAAACCAGCTTTAAATCAGTAAAATCTAGAACAAAACCAGCAAAATTCAGCATAAAACATATTGTTCGTCGATTTTAATCTGATACTCGGACGGAATGTGAGTTGGTGGCTCCCTACATTAGAACGCCAATGGTTACCTGACGTCACACCTATTTTTGCCATATGAAACACCCCCTTGTTCCTCATACCGCAAGTATCAGTTAAAAATTGATGAACAATAGAGGAATGGTTTTGTGTAGTATCTTGAGAGGTAGGGATAGTGTCTCTTTGTCTCATCTCTGTTTTGAGCCAGAACGCCTACATACTCCCTACTTTTAAAATCTCATGCCTGTCCTAAAGCCAAAAATATACCAGAGAAGTTCAAAAATAGATTATTTTAGAGCTACAGGTGGATCTAAAGTGCTCATCTTTATCTTCTATGAAGCGAAATTCAATTGAAAAAGTGTAAAACTTTATTTGCAGCTTTTGAATTCGAAGGGTTTTCCTTCCAAAATGCTCAAATTTCTTTGCAGAGATTTCCACTCTAGGCGATCATTTGGGACCCCAGAAACTTCATACAGTAATTTATTGTTGGATTTGAATTCGAAATCTTTAAAAAAAGGACCTCGGGAAAATTGAAAAATCTAAAAATTCACCTCAAATTCCTCAGGAACTATAAGTCCAAATGAGTTGAACTTTTGCAGGGTTTGTAGTCCTCTAATAGAATAAGAATTGCTGAAAATTTCACCTTTTCATCTACGATAGATTTTTTTTTATGATTTTCAATATCTAGGTTAACATATATTAAAATGTCTCCTCTATGTTTTGAATTCGAATTACAGCATTAATTATTATTTAATTAACAATAAAATCACTTCTATGAGTAGATAATTATGTATTCACCAATAATTATCGAATTTTCATAAATATAGCCTGTAAATTGCAAGAGGGGGCAAACTCAAACCTGGCACACTTTATTGGTTTTATAAATAATAAATCAATACAACAATAATCTGTTAAATACAGATACAAAATGGGGTTGAATGTGAGGCTGAAAAACCATTTCTGGGGCCCCAAAATCCAAAATTTCCACATTGAATACGACGCAAGCAAATTCTACAACTTACCTTCACTCCAGCCGTATTTTTCCAGTTGCTTTTTGGCAAAATCCATTCTAGAATTCGAGCTTTTAGGGGGCTTAACACTAATTAATAATTAAGGGGGCAATTATTTTAGAAATTTATTAAAATAAATGCAATGTGCATATTTGTTTTTATTTTGCTTATTTTTATTTTTTTTTTGAGTTGGTATTTGCTTGTCAAATTCTGTCAAAGCAAATCCATCTTTGTTTAGTACATAGAAAACGATAAGGATAGATAATTAAATTTCAAGAAGAAATAAATCGCCTAAAATAGAAGAGTAGGGTTATGTTGTGATGATTTTGTGTTTATTTTTATTTATTTAAATTTTGCCGGGGTTTTGGCTGAAATGTCCTTTTTAGTTAAGTTTTAGTGCAGGAAATCGTAATTAGGTATTAATAAGTTGGTAGTTAATTAATTAAAAGACTATTTTCTAATTAAAAATAATCGTCTGCAGTCAAGAGGTAAGTTCCAAATTATTTTATTTGTTAGTAAAATTCAATATGGCGTGGCGGCCAGCAAGTTTGTTTTGAATGTGTTTTCATGCCTATTTTAATTATCATTTTGCTTGCAGCTTTGATTTTGATTATTCAATAAAATATTTGTTTACTAAGAACGTTAACTAGTAAGTCGGGCAAAAACTAGATATTTTTTTGTGTTTTTTGGTCCATGTGTGGGCGTCACGCCATCTTGAATATCAGTCACCAGAACATTCACATTGAGCAAGCATTGAGCACAAGAACGACTGGTAATGTGGTAATTCCAAATACCTAGGTCTAGGTATTAAAAATTCTATGTAAGAAATCCATTTTTATTAATTGACAATAAGTATAAATAAATAAAATTTAACAAAAACAATACTGGTCTGCGATTTATTGAAAATAAAATTCCTGTTATTCGGTCATGTGTCTTTTCCAAAAACGTCGCCCCCTTTTCTGTAGTCCGCGTTGGCGTATATGGTGCTGTTGGTCTTTTTCAGAGCGCATATTACAGAGTTGACGCCCCTTAACATTTGGTGCCCCAGAGATTCTAGTCCATCGACTATTGGCTAAAACAAAAAAAAGAAATCATGCATTATTATTAATATGTATAGAACAAATACATATTTTTTTTCCAAATTATACTGATTTATGATTGAAAGACTTCTACCAAAGAATCTTCTACTTAGAGAGGGGACTTGGTGTAAGGGGTAATGTAAAGAAATGGTTTGTATAATTATGTAGGAATTGCACAAGGCAGGCCGAATCCTGTTCATAATTTTTCTGAACTACCTCAGTTTGGTAGGGAATTCTTCTAGCCAACATATTATAAAATATGCAGGTGACACAAGTCTGATTGTCAGCAGCAAAACATTACAAGAATTGATATTCAAAACTGAAGAATTCTTCAACATGGTAATGAGTTGGTTCTCCGCTAATAAATTAATTCTGAATGAGAAAAAAACAAATATTTCATTGTTTAGAACAAAGCAGTCCAAAATACACAGACCGACACGGATGATTAAATTTGGGAAAACAGTCTATGTAGATCCCTATTAATGTCATTTATAATTATAAATACATTAAATAATAAGGGGCCAAGTATCGAACCTTGCGGAACGCCAGAGATGACAGAGTATTTATCAGATGTGCCCCCACTAAAGAGAGACATATTGAAAGCGGTTAGACAAGTATGAGCCAAGAAGGCCTAGTTACAAAATCCATAAGAACGAAGTTTATGAATTAAAACATTATGATACAGGCGATCAAAAGCCTTCGAGAAATCTATAGACATATAATATCAACCTGAGAACTATCATCGATAGATTCAGCAATATAGCTATTGAGACACCTCAAGTAGGTTAGTGACACTGGATCTTCCTTTAAAAAATCCATGTTGTTGGGGAACTATTTGATTCTTGACAGCAGGAAATATCTTATATGTCACATATAAAAGAAATTCTAAAGCTTTACAGAAGTTACAAATGAGAGAGACTGGCCTGTAGTCTGTGATCTCCGCTCTATCGTGTTTCTTGTATATAAGAATAACTTTAGAAGTTTTCCATAAACTAGGGATTGTTTGGTACTTCAGGCATAAGTTAAATAGTACCATAAATGGCCATTGGTAGACAGTATGCTTGTAGAGGGAGTTGTTGAAGAGTCTTCAAGTCCGTGGTTATCGTCAAGTTGTACTCTCTAGTAACAAAGCAAGATGGATCTACTAGATTTTCTGTTGTATAAACAAATGAGAACGCAAAGTTTTTAGGTTTTACATAAACGAATACCTTGATTGGGCTTGTCATATAATACAGTTAGCTAAGAAGCTGAATTCTATTTGTTATGGTATTAGGATATTAATATATGAATAAGGGCTCTGCCAACTTTGAATCGGTTCTAAAATATGGTATCATCTTCTGGGGAAGGGACAGCAGATTGCAAAATATCTTTGTTGTTCAGAAAAGACTTATAAGAATAATGAAAAAAATGGACTAAGTTCAGAGCTGTAGATCACTATTTATCTGTATGGGTGTTATGAGAGTATATGCAGTGTACATTTATGAATGCTTGATGGTCTTCTTTCGCAATAAACACCTTGTTGATATTAAAACCCGGAATGCAAACATTGGATTTCAAGTACAAGCTACATAGACTATTACTTTAACGGAAAAATCACCCCTTTATATATGTGTCAAATTATTCAGTACGCTCCCTAACCAAATACAAAGTTAATTCAGGTAAAAAAATTTAAATAGATATTAACAAATTGTTAATAAACTTAGAACCATATTGTTTAAGAGATTTTTGCCCAGATCTAAGTATAATAATTTTGTAATATTCTGATCTTCTGACTCTGTTTCATTTCATGTACGCTATTGTATTATTATTATAACTACATATATAGATAGGTTTTTAAACGACTTTCTTATAAGGTGAATCAAGGTGTTCACTTTTTTGACAGTTATTGAGATGTGACACCATAGAGTGTGACACTCCCATTTGAGGTCTTTTGTGACTATTAAGCCATATATCTTTCTGTTTTTCGACTGGAGTCACCTCAGTGTTTCCTTTAGTGTACCTATGATTGGGATTATTTATTCCTAAGTGAAGAACACTGCACTTAGATTCGTTAAATGGCATCTGTCCATTGTTCAATTTTTATCAAGATTGCTCTGCATTTGTAGGTATTGGTCATTTGCTCTGCACGTCGAATTTGTGTCATCTGCAAAGGATGAGGTGTCACACGCGAGATCTGCAGGAAGGTCGCTTATGTATAATGTAAACAGCAAAGTTGCAATTACCGAGCCCTGTGGTACTCCGCTATGCACCTCGCGACTACTGGAAAGAACATTGCCTTTTTTATTTGAAAGGTTATCCTTGGATGGCTGATAACTCTATGCACATTGCCCTGTATTCCATTATTCTCCGATTTTAGTAGGAGCCTCCTGAGAGGTACCTTATCAAAAGCTTTTTCAAAATCTATGTATTCGGCAATGTCAAATGGTGTATTACTGTCATCCATTTGTTAAATCTTTCCAGCAGGTTGGTGAATGTTGATCTTTCTGGTAAAAACCCATGCTGAGAATCAGGTATTACTTGCTGTTCTAGTTAAAAAGATGTTAGCTCATTCACTAGGATTTTCTCCCTGCATTTGCAGAGTACACTAGTGAGACTCATTGGTCTGTAATTTGATGGTTGCAGTTTGTCCCCTTTTTTAAAGATTGGTACAACTATTGAGGATTTCCATATTTCTGGAATAGGATTTTGATCTTGAATAAAGAAATTTATTATTTTAATTATTAGGTACTATTAAAACCAAATTCTATTCTGTGAAAATCTATATAAAATAAATATTTGTGTCTTACTTGTCTTACAGGCAAACGAAGCTAGATTTGCTCTAGAAATTGCAGGTAATCTATGTGATAATTGAGAAGATCATAAACAAAGCGCATTTCAAGCTAAAATCTATGAAACTCCAGGGAGTCAAGTTTAAGGTTCTTTCTTATGCTCTCATAATTGTGATCGATCGATCGAAAGAGTTAGTTAAATTCAAAATTTAGAAAATGTTTTGCTTTCTATATTCAAAAACTTTATCTTCTATCTGGCCAATCAAGAGTCGATAATATTTTGAAATATTTCAAAAGGAAAGATGTCCAGCAAATCAAAAGCCAAGAATAATTCAAAATTTCAACCATTACCAACTCTTCATTGTCCCTAGAATACTTTTTTCCAGTTCCAACAAGCTAAGAGTCGCTAATATGTAAAATTTGGACCATTTTGTGTTTCTTTCCATTAGAGAATCAATAGAAAAGATGTTTAGCAAATCAATAGCCAAGAATAATTCAAAATTTAAACCATTACCGGCTCTTGATTGTCTTTAGAATACTTTTTCCAGCTCCAACAATCCAAGAGCTACTGATATGTACAGAACTGTAAAAATTGGTGTTGAACTCTCTCACCCAAAATCTTCAGAATGTTATGAGCTTAGAGAACTGTACAACTACATTCTTAATATGTTCAACAAATTTTCAAAAGTCACACCAAAGGTCTTTTATTTTGGGTGTATATTTGATTTTTTTACTTTTAACATAATAATGAGAATTTATCTTTTTTTTGGATCTAAAAAAACTTATTATATAACACTTGTCAACATTTAGCTTATTTACCTAACACCATGTGATTAATGGCCATTTGCACGGCTATCACTTAAGGGAATTAAGGAATATTTATTCTAAGTGGAGCTTTGAATGTGACTTTTGTTTCTACAAGAGTCACATTCAAAGCTCTACTTGGATTAAATATCCCTTAAGTTACAGCGGTGCAAATGGCCGTAAGCGACTTAAATTTTCCTGTTATACAGTATCAAAAACATTATTTATTATTCGGAAAAATTGGAAATTACCTGCATAAGCTAAGGGTATATATGATGAAAGTTCTGTGTGATATCGTTGATAAATACAGGGTGTTTCACGAACATTTTTGAGGGAAGACTGTTGATCTCTAATGAATTTTCACAAATAACTAGGGTTGGTCTTGCTACATTAATTGTATACTCAGATCGACAGTCACTAGAGGGAAAACCTCGGGGAAAACTTTCCCACTTTGGAATATCTGACTTCAGAGGAAGTGGCCGTAAAGTGCATATAAACTAAGGGAAAGTTCAAAGACATGCAAGGGAATTTCAAATATTCCAAAAAACGAATAAACCTCAAAAAAATCATCAATAATCTGATTCAGCATTGCAAAAGGCAATCTGGAAATTTGAAGTAATCCGCAAGTTCAGTTGGAAAAGTTCTTAATTTCACAAGTGGTTTCCTCTAATGACTTCTTCCTAAGCTTTTTTCCTGCTCAGTGCAGCTAGTGCAGTTTAAGCTGCAGCTTTGTTTTCTTCTCCTTTGGATTTTGTCGAAATTTGCAGTCGGTGCAGTTAGTGATGACTGTGATGAGCCTCCATATCTCGACAGATTGCTCAAACAGTACGGACATACTAAAAATTTAATTCGATTGAAGAAAGAACCACAAAGTTACGTATAAGATTTGTATGATGTTTGTATGGATGAACACCCAATATAATATGGTCACAACCAACTACCTGGTTTGAAGGGCACCTATATCTGTGACCTACCTATAAAAGAAATGGGAAATGTCAATTTTAATTTAATGTAGAATGCCATATTTTTAGATAGGTAGATTGTTTGTGTGCAGTCCTTAAGTTGTTTGATTCCTTCTGGCATCAAGAATTTACGCGCTGACATAAATAAGTTCACTTTTGTTCATATCTTGAGAAATCTCCACACTATTGTAGGTATTTCAAAATAAGATAAGCCATATATCTTGACAGATTTGCTGAAAAAGTACGACAGGGGAAAATGTGATACATATATATTTCAAGAGTCTGTTATTAATTGAGGCTTTGAAGTAGAAGCTTCTAGAAATTCAATGCAATTGAAGAAAAAGCAACAAAGTTACAGGATTTTTTGGAAGGCTTATTTCTATCGCGCTTCAAAATAAGATATAAGCCTTTCATATCTTGATAGATAGAACAAAAAGTGAGACAGTTAGAGATGTGAGATTTGAGAAACTATTTCTGGGGTTTGGAGCAAGACGTACTAAAAATTCAATGCGATTGAGTAAAGAACAACAAAGTAGAAGATTTCTAGAAAAGCCTCACTTTTACCGCAATTCAAAATAAGATAAGCCTTTTTATATCTTGACAGACAGAGGAAGGCAGAACAAAAAGTAGCATAGGTGAAAGATGTGAGATTTCCAGGAGTTATTATTGAGATTTTGAAGCAAATCATAAAAGTAGGAGAGCCGGCAATATTAACGAGTATATGATCGTTGCAATGGATAATTTTCACATAAAAGAATAGCTCATAGTTAACTTTAAAATGGATGGGTTGCCTTGATTCTCATGGTCGCAACCCTTTGGTGGCTGGGCGTAAAGTTCTCTTTTTTTTTTTGAAGGAACAATGTTATTGGTGCAATAGCTGAAAATTGGTAGATATATTCTTCAATATGTCTTCTCAAATAATATATAGGGTTGCCTCGATTTTGATGGCCGGAAATGATGGCAACCCTCATGGAAAGTCGAGCGCGCGCGTTATTTTGCTTGCTGAATAAAATTTTTTGAAAGTGACTGCTTTCAAAGTTAAAAGAGGATTTTGTGACGAGGAATTTGTATACGGCTGTAGGTCTTTAGACAAAAAAAGGAACATGAAATTGTGTTAAAGTGTTTGCCACATATGATGAGAACCCCCTTCACCGCTTACGGTTTTGTTCTATTTATAAAATTGATATAAGTATCTTTTTATAAAACAACTTTATGGTAATGAGAATCAAGGCAACCCATCCATTTGATTTAAAGGTTCCTTTGAACTATTGTTTTATGTAGAAATTATCCATTGCAACGATCACATACCCGTTAGTATTGCCGGCTCTTGGACTATAAGCGAGGGGGTAATCACTGTGCAAATCGTCTGTCCTATGGGATGCAAATCTCATGGAGATCCGTGAAGATCTGCGGAGATCTGTGGATATCCGTTAGAGATATGTGGAGATACATGGAGATTGAAGGATATGCCTGGAAATCTATGGAGTTACAAGAAAATGTCCACAAATGGAGATTTTCTGTCCAAACAAATTGCAATAGTAACTACCCACTATGTTACTCCATTCGGGAATTTTATATCAACTTCCAACTTGTTTTTTTATCACGAAAAATTTCTAATTGAGAAATCTTTGAAAGTTTCAAGTTGCTGTGATGGGTCAAAGTATTTTTCAGGAATCTTCAAAGGTGATTTTACCAGAATTTTATGATTTTCTCAGATAGGTATTAACGGGTAATAGAATTCGTAACTTTGGTTGTGGGTTTTATATCAGCTTCCAACTTGTTTTATATCATAAAAAAACTCTAATAAATCCTGAAAGTTTTAAGTTGCTGTGATGGGTCAAAGTATTTTTCAGGAATCTTCAAATTTAATTTTACAGGAATTATAGAATTTTCTCAGGTATCAGTGAGTCAACAAATCTGTAACTATGGTTCTGAGTTTCAGATCAACTTCCAACTTGTTTTGTAACATGAAAAAACTCCAATTAATATATCCTGAAAGTTTCAAATTCCTATGATGGGTCAAAGTATTTTTCAGGAATCTTCAAAGATGATTTTATAAGAATTTTATGATCTCAGGTATAAATGAGTGATAAAATCTGTAACTTTGGTTGTGTGTTTCATATCTACTTCCAACTGGTTTTGTACCATATGAAAACTCTAATTATTAAATCCTGAAAGTTTCAAGTTGCTGTGATAGGTCAAAGTATTTTTCAGGTGATTTCACAGGAATTTTATAATTTTCTCAGGTTTCAATGATTAAATAAATTCGTAACTTTTCATATCAACTTCTAATTTGTTTTTTATCATGAATCTGATGTTTCCTACTCTTCTCCAGTTTTTTCTAGCTTATTTCAGTCTCTTCCAAGCTATTTCCAGGTATTGGTAGGAAAATAAATTGAAAACCTAGAATAGACAAGAACTTCCAGCTTTTCCTTTTTCCAATCAAGTTTTTTCCTGCCCTACCTAAGTTTTTTTTTTTAAATCTGTTTCCTATTTCGCTTGGTTTTTTCCCCAACACTTCGGGGTCCTTATTCTTAAAACAGGAGAGCAGTGCTCCCAGGAGAACAAGTGTTCCGTCTTACTCAATGATATGCAACTGATAATATAACCCCTGTTTCAAGAATAAGATCCCTGGAGGAAAGTTTCCATACAAAAGTTGTGAATATTGATGAGATCCAAGGAAGAAATCTAAGAAAGTATGGAGAAATTGTTGAGAGAAATCCAAGAAAGAATGTCAAATATTTCTCAAAAAAAAATAGAGAAAGTTTCTAGTGGTTTACTGAACAAAGTGTAGATAAGTTTGTGGAAATCCGTCAAAGAAGTTTAACAATAATTACCTTCAACATTCCATACTCGTACATCGCTCTCATAGGATAAAGTTGATGGTGTAGCCGAGGAGCATCTACAACTTCTTTGATATTCTCACCAAACCATAACGATCTTACAATAGCCTGCGAAAAAATCAATTTTAGACGTTAAATCATCATCAAATTCACTTACCCAAGCCACACACGACGTGATAGTGGTACCACCTGAAGCCCCAATAACCATTTTCACTTCATTGTCTTTGTCCACGATTATTGTAGGACTCATCGAAGACAAAGGACGTTTTTCCGGTTTCATTTCGTTGTTTGGCGAACCTGGCAGACCAAAGTAGTTTTCGAAGTAGGGAAACGAAAAATCGTCCATTACGCTGTTGTAGATTATTCCTGTTTGTGGCGAAGTTCTTCCATTACCAAAACTGCAATGTTTAGATAGTTAATAATGAATGCCACACACTAGAAATACTTACAATATATTGATTGAGCTTGTAACCGAAATAGCATCCCCATTTTGATCAATTATTGAAATATGTGCAGTGCCATGATCCCCTCTGTCATAATACACGGCCCCATAATGCTTAGGATCAGAAAACGTCATATTATCAACTATTTTCAATCTAATATCTTCAGCATACTCAGAAGAAGTCAAATCCTTCATCAACTAAAAACAAAACTAATTAGATTTAAGCAGAAATAATATTGACTTTAAATTACTTGAGTCAAGTTTACAAAGTTCATGTCGCCCAGTTCGGTTCTGCGAGCGTAAGCGTACTTGTAGGACTCGATTATTCTGTGATAAGTGAGTATGGTGGAGTTTGGATCTTCGATGCTGTTCCGGGTGAAGTTGTACCCGTCCAAAATGCCCATTATGAAGGTTAGAATCGCTCCAGAACCAGGCGGAGGTGATGAATACAAAGTGTCTTGTCCGTTGAATTGCATACTCATTGGATTTATCCATTCAGCACTGGAAATAAATTAGTTTTTTTTGTGTGTGAAAAACATTTTTCAAAGTTCTTACTTGTATTTAGCTAAATCTTCCAAAGTTATAAGGCCTTTTTCAGCTTGTATATCTTCCACGAACATGTTTGCAAGAGTGCCGTTGTAGAAATCTTCACCTCCGTTTTCCTGTATTAGTCTTAAAGTATTGCAAAGTTTTTTGGGGACTATTTTGGAACCGGCTTTTTTGAATTTGCCTTTTTTGTCCAGGAACCATTCTCTAGAAATCAATAATTTGAATCACTTTAGCTCAACAAATAAAGCAAATATTAGCTGACTTAATATTAGGATCAGTTTTGTTTAGCTTGGCATTCTTGAACAAAGATTGGTACTGATGGTTGCTCATTATGTAGCCCTTGTTGCAAATGTCCAGGGCGGGTTGTACCAAGTCTTTCCAGGGTAGAGTGCCGAATTTTTTGTGCAGTTCCACGTAGCCTTTTAGTTCGCCGGGAACGCCTACAGCCAGTGGAGCTAAAAATAAATTTCAATGTAGAGTTTTAATTTGAGATAAAACAATCTATATAACAACAAAAACAACTTTTTATCTTTTGCCATGGCTTGAGAAATAATATTGTAAATTATAATTGTGTTTTTTGTTTTGGTAATTATCTTAGCGATAATTCAATTTCATTGTATTGTCTTTGTATTCAAGATATAGTATTTCGAAACATTTTCCAGTAGATTTAAGCTACACTGAGATTCAAACTGCTTTTTTCTATACATATAACTATAGGTAATATTTATTGAAAAAATACTAAAATACTGCGCAATTTCATACTTATCTTGAAAATGTTATCAGTATAATAACTAGTGCAATTACGCATTACAACATGTTTACCAGGTATAGGAGCTTTCCAATTGAAATATTATTAATAATATTTAATGCAAATTTATTTTTATTGCGTTTTGTTGTAGGAAAAATACACGTTTTATTGATAAAAAGCTGAGAAATGAAAGATTAATATATGGTGACTAATCCTGTTACGTTTCACAATAAGCATTTGACTCACGGGTACCCAAACCTAAGAGCAAGTCAGGTAGGAAAATCATAAGGAATAGTCAAAGGAAATCATAGGAAAATGTTTGATGAATATACAAATCCAATCTGAGAGGTATTGCATTTTAAGCCAAAAAATGTTCCAAATGTGTCTACCTCTTGGCTTTTTCTATTGAAATACCAAGAGAAACTGTTCAAATGGGTGTAAAATTGCATTTTCAACATTTTTGTACTTCTTTGTCTATCAAAATCTAGCCAACCTAGTTTGATATGTAGTAAAGTTTGCGTTTATTAAAGGTATCTACTTCGTATCTTATATTCCTAACTAAAACTACACTATTGTCACAGTAACAAACTTCTAAAAGCTTGATCTCGTTTTTCTAGTTTAACGTGGTAGGTACCTAGCAGATTACGGGAGCTAGAACGAAAATAATTATTGTGGAAATGTGGAAAAGTAAGAAACTGTTGACAGTGTTGTAAATTAGAAATCTTAGAGAAAAAAAAAACGGATATATTACCAAAGTGTAAATTGGCTCATTGGAAGGCAAACATGTAAGTTTAAGTTTTCAATAATGCTCTGCAGTATTTCTGGAGCATTTGATGTTGTTGAGAGGAAACTAACAAAACCATGTACCTACTTATCCCATTGGAAACTGCAAGTAAAGAAGACAAAGGAAAATATGAGGATATACTCAAGTTGTGTATCCAAGCAGACAGTCATGTCTTAGTTCTGTTAACAGTAAATATGACGCAGGAGGAGACTCTACTAAAGATAATGAGATTCTCCTCAGCCAGAGAAATGTGCCTTGAACTGCATCACCTATATGATGGTGCTATGGAGGATAAAACGTATGGAGTTCTTCATTTATAGGAGAGAAAGTAAAGATGATATGGCTTCTGATATTTCAAAACTAAAAACATTATGGAATAGGTTTGCAGAATGAAATTAGCAAAGAAAAGCTTGTCTTGGGTAATTTGTGAATTGTCTGATTTGCTGTGTACAAGAACAGGAAGTACTTGCAACGGCAAGCAGACAGAGACGTCAAATCAAATGTCACTATTGTAAGAAAATTGGCCACGTGATAAGATATTGTTACAAATGCATTGCAGATGGAAGACCAGATATTTCAGAAATTCAAAAAGACGCCAACAGTGCGATTTTGCTTACGATGAGAACAATTTTGTTTTTGTTTCAAGCTGCTGATACAGAGCACTGGTATGTTGATAATGGAGCAACTAATCACATAATTGCAATAGACAAGATTCATTTAAAAACTATGAGACTTTTCGTTATGATAACAGCGAGTGGAAACAGAATAAAAGCATTAAATACAGGAACTATTGAAGTAGGTAATGGAGTAACTTCCAGATTAGTTCTAGTTGATGTCTGGTATGTTCCTGAGATACTGAAAAACTTCTCTCTCTTATCAACCCAGGAGATCAAAATGAAGATAGTGAGTTTGTTTCAAAAAATGGAAGGATGTCATCTGAAAATTCGAAGAACTGTTGTGTTTACTGGTCAACCGCCAAAACATGGCGGTCTATTCCAGCTCAATTTGAGAAGTATTATCCCATCTAAAAACGAAGTGTCGAGAAATTTACTTCAGCGTTTTGGGCATCAGAATAAAAGATTTGCTAAAGATATTTTAGGAAGAGAAGTTTCTTTGGACAATAAAATTTGTGAGGGATGCATATATGGTAAAGCTCATATCCTAAAATTTGGATCACGAGAAAGGGCGAGTGAACCAGGAGAGCTCATTCACTCAGATGTTTGTGGACCCTTTGAGCCATCCAATACAGGATATAAGTACTTTGTACAGTTTAAAGATTTCAGTTAAGGAGATTTTAACTGATAATGGGGGAGAATACATTGATCGAAAAGTAAAAGAACTTTCTAAGGCATCAATTTGCTAGTAATAATACCATACACACCTCAGCAAAATGGATGTGCTGAACGTAAAAATCGTACCCTAGTTGAGATTGCTCGTTCTTTAATGCATGCTAAAGAGGAATTAGGTAAACATACATTTTTGTGGGCAGAGATGATCAACACTTCGGCTTATATATCTTGAACAGAAGCGGCAAATCTAGTATTCAAGACATCTCTCCTTATCAAGCTTAGTTTGGTACGAAACCTAGAATAATACACATGAAAGTGATTGAAAGTGTATGTTATGCAGAATGTGAAAAATTACAAGAAAATATCGAAGACACAACACAAATGAAAATCAACATCAGCAATAAATACAATTAGAACAACAGAATGACAATTCAATAAATGATGAAGAAAATGATGATGTAGAGAGTGTTACCTCGGAATTTTATGGACTTAAAGCAAAAGATCAACCTGAAAATGAAAGGCAAACGCGTGATAGATTAGGTTTGAAAAAGCCTCAAAAGTTTGAAGATCTTATCATGGCTGCTACTTCAAATGTTTCAGAAATTCAGGAGCCACTCAACTACAATGAACGTATATGCAGAGTAAAAATAAAATTGATTGGATAGAAGCAATGAAGAAAGGAATGCAATCTCATCATTAGAATGGCACATGGGTTCTCGAAAATTTGCCACATGATAGAAAGGCAATTCCATGTAAATGGGTGTTCAAGGTTAAGATTAAACCAGATGGTTCAGTTAAAAAATTTATAGCACGTCTTGCAATCAAAGGATTCTCCCAAAAGATGGGAGAAGATTATGATGAAACTTTTAGCCCTGTATCAAATTTGGTATCTATTTAGGGCAGTCATAGGTATCGCAACAATCCAAAATATGACCCTATATGGACCCAACTGATCCAGATCCATATGTTCTTATAAAGACACAAGGAAACGATTCCTTAATATTGTCATGATGGATTGTTAGCTTCAAATCGTAATGTTGAAAAATGAGTCTTTCAGAAGTACGGAAAAGGAATTTTAAGTTACTATAAAGCCAGCTTCGTATTTTCTTGGTTTAGAAATTGAACCAAATACTGGAGAAGTTATAGTTAGTCAAAAAGCTTTATGATCAAAAACTATTGATTGGAAAGATTTGAAATGGACAAATGTAATTTTGTTACTACACCAATACTAAGAGAAAATGACGTTCCATATACTCGGTTCCATATAGAGAAGGTGTTGGTGTTCTTATGTACTTTATGTGTGGAAGTCGTCCTGATTTGGTATATGCTGTTAGTGTAGTTTTTAGGAAATTTGATAAACCAAATGATGATTATTTTTCAGATACATCAAAAGAACCCTAAACGATGGGATTAAATATCGGCGATATAATAATCATGGTTTGGAGACATTTCAGTACTGATGCTGATCATGGTGGGGATCTAGAAACTAGAAATCTAAATTTATAAAACGGAGACTTCTTTTTGGTATTAAATGAACCGCAATAACAGAAACAAAGTTACGAAAATTTGAAAATTCCCAAATATCTAGAAAATCCACTCGTTTTAGGCAATTCTCATTAAAGGTAATTTTCGAGATTTTTTCCTGTAGTGATTTTTCATTGGATTAATTTGAAATTTTGGATTAATAAGCTCCCGTTCCTCTCCTTTTTACTCCACAAGTTTCAGAATTTCTCCCTAAACAGTTCTTCCAAAAATCGTCGAAGTGCGTGGATGAGATTTTTTTTTTATCAAATTTATTTTTTGGACAATCCTAAAAGTTAATTTTCAAAATTTGTTCCTGTGGTGGTTCTTCATTCAGCTTCAACTCCAAGATGGTCAGAAGTTGAAACTCCAACTCCAAGAACCTTGCAAATAGCAGTTTCGCACTTCTCTAGTAGAATTTCAGCTGTACAACAGCTTAAACTCAACTTCAAATCTAAAATCAGAAATTTATACTTCTCTTGTTTAATTCCAGCTTCAGGACAACTGAGCATAGAATTTTGATGCAGTTGTGCAAAATTCAGCTTCAGGGGTAAGCAGAATTGAGATTTTCTTTCTTTTCTTGTTGAACTTTGGCTCCAGAATGGTCAAAAATCGGTTAATACCGCTCTAGTTCAAATTCGAGAGTCGAGAATAAGATATTCATGTTCCTCTAGTTACATTTACTTCAGCTCCAACTCCAGAATGGTCAGAAATTCAAACCTTAACTCTAAGCAAGTTACAAATAGAAGTTTCGCATTTCTCTTGTAGAATTTTAGCTGTGCATGAGCTTTTTGAACCATCTCTAGCTCAACTTCAACTCTAAAGTAGTCAAAATCAAGCTTTTATGCTTCTGTTGTTCAATTTCGGCTTCAGGATACCTGAAAATAGAATTTCCATGCTTCTGCTATGCAAAATTCAGCTTTAGGGGAAATAGGCTTGGGATTTTCTCTCTTTTCTTGTTGAATTTTAGCTCTAGGATGGTTAGAAATTCAAACTTTAACTGAGAATCGAATTTCCACATTTCTTTAGTAGAATTCCAGCTGTGCATGAGCTTTTTGAACCATCTTTAGTTCAAGTTTCAGGACACCTATAGAGAATTAGGACTTTAGCTTCGATTCTAGTTTGGTACAAATTTCAATTCTAATAACGGTGGTAATGGGATTTTCACAGTTTTCTAGTAGAATTTCAATTCAGCCCTATATGAACTTTTTAAGCTGCTCTAGCTCAATCTTGTCTCTATTATGATCTAAAATTGAACCCGAGGGGTCAACCACTATACTTACAAATGCACAATGATTTGCATGTTTGGCAATCACTGATCAATGAATCTCATGTATTTCCATCCCAAGAATTGCGACTGATTGCCAATGATTTTCAGATATTTTTGAATGATGATTACCAGGTGATTTCCATTTTTTTCTGGGGATTCCTATATCATTTTCAATTGATTACCTGATTTCCTCGATAATTTCCTACAATCATCCGATTTCCATCTGATTTCATGACATAAACGATTGTTAAACTTCACATTGATATGACCAAAATAAACAATCGTTTCTCTTATAAAAACACGTTTCCACCGAAAAATTGGCAACTTCTGTATTTGCAACTCTTCCAAAAGTAAGCAACTTGTATTTTCATGGTTGGCCACACCCACACCAATTTTGTTGTAGGTATAAATAGTTGTTGAGGCCTAGATACCATTGCATAATATGGATCTAAAATAATGGATATTTCTTTGATTTCACTAGGATGTTCATCTGAATCGGAGACATCTTCAGTTAGGGTTTCACTCGACAAACTTATTTCTGATTCTGATTCCCCTTTCCCTTTTCAAGTTCTTATTGCCTTGGATTCCCGACTTTTTCTTTTGTGTCATCCTCAGGGACATTCCCATAGCTCTTAATACTCGATCGACAAACGTCCCTGTTTCTCTGAAAAGAACCAAATTAATGTTGAGCCCTGAATAATCTTTAATATAAATTGTAGCGAATCGCAATTGTTAAATCCTGACGTGAGAAGAAATTCTGTGTCTTCTTCTCAAGAATCATGTTTTCATTTTTATGCTCTATAACATTGTCATACTTTAGGTCTGTTCTCACAGAAATCACAAACCAGTCAAAGCGAATTTCACTGGTTGAAAATAGTAAAACTGGTTGTTGGTGACTTACACCAATCAATAACGCTCTGACTGGTTTTTGATTTCTGTGAGAATAGACCTAATCTTCATCTCGCATCTCATTCTTCTTCTTCAAGCTCTAAATTCTTCGTAGTCTGGGGTTCAGTTATTGTCTCAGTTAGAATGAGATGATATTCCCAGCGATTACCACATGATTCTTAGCGATTGCCAATGAATTCCTGTGTTGTTACCAGGGAGTCCTAGGAGATTCCTAGCGATTCCTAGGTTATTCCCAAGGACTTCCAAGTGATTTCTATGTATTCCTGATTGATTACTATGTGATTCCCAAAAAAAAAATCACAATTATTTCCACTAGTGAGTGGTTCACCCCTCGATTAAACCATTGTCTATTTTAACTTGGACATTAGAAGACCTTTAAATCGAATTTCCATGCTTTTTTAGTTCAAAATTCAGCTTAACGGAAGCCGGGAATGTGATTTTCAATTTTTTTTTCTTATATTTTTGCTCACAAATCATAGTTTATACTTCTCTATTTCAAATTCGACTTTACAAGAGCCGGGAATTAGATTTTCACTCTTTTCTAGTGGAATTAACTTCATCAGCATCAACTCTAAATTGGTCAGAAGCTCTAATTTTAACTCCAAGAATTTTCGCTATTCTTTTTAGAAATTTGTGTAAATTTTCAAGATTTTTTTTTCCTGTAGTTGTTTTTTAATTTTTTATTGGAATAATTTGAAATTTCGGATTAAGCTCTTGTCCCTCCCCTTCTTACTCCACAAGTTTCAGAATGTTTCCCCAAACAGCCAGAAAAGTGTTCCAGCCAGTGATAATTCAAATCTGAACCGTTACTGTGTCTTGATTTCCTTTAGAGAAATTTTTTAGTGATTCAAAAACCAGTAATGATCAAAATTTGAACTATTCCCGGCTCTTGATTTAAGTTTTCTGTTGTTAATAATCTAAGTTTTGGCCAGAAAAATGTTCCAACCGGTGATAATCCATATCTGAACCGTGACTGGGTTTTGATTTCCTCTAGAGAAATTTTCTAGTGATTCAAGAGCGAACTATTCGCGGCTCTCGATTTTGCCTGGAAAAGTTTCCTTGTGATTCAAGCGCCGGTAATAATCAAAATTTTGGTCAGAAAAATGTTCCAGCCGGTGATAATTAAAATCTGAACCGTTACTGGGTCTTGATTTCCTTCAGAGAAATTTTCTAATGATTCAAAAGCCAGTAATGATTAAAATTTGAACTATTCTCGGCTCTTGATCTCGTCTGGTAAAGTTTTCTGGTGATTCAAGTCGGTGATAATTGAAATTAACTGTTTTAGCTGGTGATAAATCAAATCTCAACCGTTACTGGATCTTGATTTCCTTCAGAGAAATTTTCTAGTGATTCAAAATCCAGTAATCAATCAAAATTGGAACTATTCCCGGCTCTTTCAATTTTGACATTTCCAGTCGATAGAGCAGATCCAAATTAGTCAAAAACCCCTAACGGCAATTTCAAAATGACTCAACGTCACTGAGATTCGTAGAAAGTTTAAATTTTGGAGATAACAGGGACGTCTTGCATATTACTTTTAAGCAAGAAAATTTGTTCTACATTTTACAGGGTTGGTCAAAATTAATTACGAATTTTGCCAGGTACAAAAAAGATGAAAACTGTTCCTTTTTAAATAGAGCACCCTGTATATTGGGAAATGATGTATCATGTTCATTTATCTAAATAGTAAAGTTTCGGAAATACATGCAAGTTTCTATTAGAATTGGATTATTTTGGGATATTTCCATCTCTTTCTCTCAGCCTGTTGAAAAAATAGATGGAAATACATTTGCCATTGAATAGCTATGAAATGTCACGATGAAACATATTAGATAATTCAACAAACCCAAATTTGATGTATAAAAACCAAGTATGCATAAAGCAAAAGACCACGGAATCATAACTTGTGGCTCAAACACCTCACGTCAAAGCGAGAAACGACACGCCGCCTACGTCATTACTGGTACTTTAACATGGTGGCGGGATTGAGATTTGAACTACACAGGCCTTATGAAGTTAATAGTAGTAGTGTCTATTATCCTTGATTCAAACCACGTTATTTTCTACAATGGCGGGTGACAAAATTCCTAAAGTTAATAGGTTGCCTGGTAATGGGTGACTTGATGACGCATCTGGGATGCCTCATGGAGATTTGCATTATGTTAAGGCACCCCAGATGACGTCATAAAGTTATCAGGCAACAGGAATACTGAAACCATGGTGGTTACCATCAAAGATCATAGATTGAAAACAAATGCATAAGATGGTTCACTTTCCACAATGTGTCATACGCAAAAATATTGTCATTGTTGTGTTTTTGTCTCACGATGTTTTTGACATTTCAATCCAATGACGTTACAAAAGAAACATGAGGTCTGTTTCTGCAGAAATCACAAACTAGTCAGAGCGAATTTCATTGGTTGAAAACAGTCAAAAAACTGGTTTCAACCAATGAAATTCACTCTGACTGGTTTGTGATTTCTACAGAAACAGACCTCATGTTTCATCGTTAAATTTCATAGCTATTCAATGGCGTTTGCCGCTGGTAGAATGAGTGCAAAGAAAATGTATTTCCATCTGTTTCTTTAACAGGCTGAAAGAAAGAGATGGAAATAGAAATACACTCAGTGCGAATTAAATCTATCAATAGGAAACATATGATACATCATTTGTAAAGGATCTTAATTACCTTGTATAATATTTCATATTATACAGGGTGCTGGGTGTTCTATTTGAAATAGTGTACCTTTCATCTTTTTTGTACCTGCGTCAGCACAAGTACTAATTTTGACCAACCCTGAAAGGTAATATGCTGCATTATTAAATGAATTATGATTATTGTTTTTGTACTCCATATGTTATCTCAAAAATTTAAACTTTCTATGAATCTGCAATAATATATAAGCGGCAACGTCGCATCGTTGAAATTATTTTAGAATGATAGATCAGGAGCAATTACTTGGGCATACAAATTTTCGAAAAAATCCAAAATTCCGTTTTCTATAAGCGTCTAACGTGTTGACCATCGACTATCAATCACTCTGTATACAATTTTTAATTATAAAACTTTAAAAAAATAAGTATGACTTTTATGTGAATTCTGCACTTTGAAAACAGACACAATGAAATTTCCATGTGATTGTCGCCAATTATTATTAAATAAATTATGATTATTGTTTTTGTACTGAGGAATGTTACAGGGTGTCCCATTATAATTTGACATCTTACGCCACAGCTATCCTCTCAAAAAATTCCCGTATTGAGAAACACAGATAGTATTTTTGCGAGTTTTCTAAATTGAATACCCTGTATAGGAATACCTACTTTTTCACAATAATACATTATATGCACATTATGTGTGTGTATCAGAATCTTTAGGATTTTTTAATGAAACAAAGGTACCTAAGATAAAATTATTTGACTTACTCGATCTGGAAGTCAACTGATCATCTTTGTACATCTCGTTTTTGGCTGCCAAAGGGGCCTTTTCCCTGGCGTTCAAAAAATAGGCCTTCTTCTCGTCCCGCTTGTACAACGTCATCAGGAATCCGCCCCCGAGCCCCATACTCTGCATGGTGACCACCCCGTTACATAACAGGGTGGCGATCGCCGCGTCCGCGGCCGTACCATTTTTAATTAGAATATCGCTGTAAATAAATATGTATTATATTATTTGTTTTTATAAACAAAGGTTCATGGACTTGGCTTGATTAGTAATCGCGTAACCTGACTGGTTTTCGAGCCAAGGTTGAATTAAATTGCTGATAATTGAAAACAACATCTGCTCTGCTGTTAGATTATTATTGCTTGGAATTTTCTAGATTGAACGGATTTTGCATTTGCATTTTCATCAATGTTGGTTTACTTACATGAAATATCTTCCAGTCTATTATAAATATAGAAAGTGGTGAAAGTGTATGAACCAATTTGAGCGAATAATAAGAATTCTGGTTTGCTGATTGAATCAAGTCAATATTTGATTTATTTTGTGCAAAATTGTTGCTGAGTGAGAATCTTGACTTTGAAGTTTCTGAAAAAAACTTTTACTGAAGCTCAACTTTGAAGTTCTATAGCTCAGATTGATTGATTACTCCATATACACTAAATTATTCTGAGATATAAAGCCGAAATCTTTAAGAAAAGGAAATTTATTTGCAAATTGAGAATCAAGTTAGACTCTATTTTTTTGAATTCTCTTCAATTTAGGAAATTTGAAAGATAATAGAAATTCAAGAGCCAGGAATTGACAGCCTGAAACACAGGATATTCAAGGAAAATAGGGAAAAAACTTGACGATGATTTATCCCAATTTACATTTCTTAAATCTAGGAAAAAAGATGTTAGCGCAGTTGCGACGTTGCCACATCTTTCGAAATTGTTTTGGGACTTATGTAAAATTAATAATGACTTTAGTGTGCCCCAATATACAGGGTGTTCATTTCAAAAATATCTTATAAGGGAAACGAGGTCCAGGTAAAACATCAAATCAAAGATCAAAATTAACTGGTTTGGAATGCCTGATGACACCCCTTGTTGATATGACAGCTTGTTAACATTTTGAAGCAAATTTTTGTTATTAGTAATTGATTATGATAATAGTTGAGTTGTCGACTTCAAACCCCTGATGAGGGTCAGAAGATCTTTGATATAAATTGTACAGGGTGTTTTTTTATATATTGACACCCCACCTACATCCTTATTTACCTTTACAGTTAGAAGAAAAGTGTAAATACAAAAGTTGTACAGTTTTGGCTAAATTGAATTTGTCAAAAATGTGAAATGTTGCATGCTTTCAGCTTTTTTCAAATGGAATGCCCTATATTTGGTTCTATATTCTTGAAGAGCATAATTTCCCGATTCCAAAAATATATAGCTTGTCTATATTTAATTGAGCCGTCTCCAAAACATTTGGTTCTAAAAATTTCAAAAATACAATCAGAGAAACCAATAATTATACCTCAAATTTTACCTGCAGCTTTCACCTGTATAGGTAGAATGGTTCACAAAATCAGTAGTAGGATAGTATCTTTACAATTTTTGGAGCCGAATGTATGAGAGACTGTTCAATCAAATATAGACAAAAAGTGGATATAATCCTTACAAATTTTATATAATAAGTTATTGTTCAAGTACAAATAAGTGGATTGTTGCGGAACTTATGGGTAGACTTCTGCGGGATGAGCGTAGCGAGTTCCGCAGCCATCTACTCACCAACATACTGTTGAATTGATCAAATAAGATACTCACCTGAAACGTGTAGTTTTTAAACTAATGAGAATAACTGACATTTGAGTAAGTCAGGTTAGTATCGTACTTAAACAACATAGATAACTGCGGAACTCGCTGCGCTCGTCCCGCAGAGGTCCACCCATAAGTTCCGCAATAATCCACTTATTTGTACTTGAACAATAACTTATTATATAAAGTCAAAATTTGTAAAATTTGTCAATTTGCCTTTCAACAGGAATTAGTAATGTTACTTTACCAAACTAGTAACATAATGTGACAAGTTATTCAAGTACAAACGAGTGGATTGTTGCGGAACTTATAAGTGGACCTCTGCGGGACGAGCGTAGCGAGTTTCGCAGCCATCTATTCATCAATATGTTGTTTAAATACGATACTAACCTGACTCACTCAAATGTCAGTTATTCTCATTAGTTTAAAAACTACATGTTTCAGATGAGTGTCTTATTTGAACAGATCAACAGTATGTTGATGAGTAGATGGCTGCGGAACTCGCTGCGCTCGTCCCGCAGAGGTCCACCCATAAGTACCGCAACAATCCACTCGTTTGTACTTGAATAACTTGTCACATTATGTTACTAGTTTGGTAAAGTAACATAACTAATTCCTGTTGAAAGGCAAATTGACAAAAAGTGAATAATGTTACAAATTTTGACTTTATATAATAAATTATTGTTCAAGCACAAATAAGTGGATTATTGCGGAACTTATGGGTGGACCTCTGCGGGACGAGCGCAGCGAGTTCCGCAGCCATCTATTTACCAATATACTGTTGAACTATTCAAATAAGACACTCGCCTGAAACGTGTAGTTTTTGAACTAATGAGAATAACTGACATTTTAGTGAGTCAGGTTAGTATCGTACTTGAGCAACATATATATTGGTGAATAAATAGTAGATTATCTTGAAAATTCTGACTTTATGTGATAAGTTATTGTTCAAGTACAGGGTGTTTTTTTATATATCGACACCCCACTTACAGCCTTTACCTTTACAGGTAGATGAAAGGTGTAAATACAAAAGTTGTATATTGGCTAAATTTTTAGAATCCATGGTCAGAAACAAAAACTGAATGTCAGAAATGTTGTATGTTTTCAGCTTTTTTCTAGTGGGATTCCCTATTTTTGGTTCCATATTCTTGAATTTTTGGAGCCGAATATATGAGAGACTGTTCAGTCAAACATAGACAAACTATGTATTTTTGGAATCGGGGCATTGTGCTCTTCAAGAATATAGAATGAGATATAGGGCATCCCATTTAAAAAAAGCTGGAAGCATGCAAAATTTCACATTTCTGACATTCAAATTTTGTTTCTGATCATGGTGTCTAAAAATTCAGCCAAAACTGAACTTTTGTACTTACACCTGTAAAGCTAAAAGCTGTAGGTGGGGTGTCAATATATAAAAAAACACCCTGTACCAATATGCTGTTATGATGTCAGAATCTAGAAGCACAGAAACATTTTAAAAACGTCAGTTAAAGTAACTGAGAACGTCCATTGGACGTTTTTCTCTAGTGCAAATGTCATAACTTCAAACGTCATATTATGGACGTTTTCAAAACACCATCAACTTACAAATCCCTAACTTTCATGATTAATCTTTTATCAACTAAAAACAAACACTTCCTGCAAGATTTTGACAAGCTGTCATATAAAAATGGGTAACAGCAGAAACTTCAAACTTGTCAGTTTTAATAAGAACCAAAAAACCTTTGAAACAATGTATCACTTGACGTCATTGACTGACTGTTTTCGATATGAGATTTTAAGGAGGTGGTAAGTTTTAAAATAAACACCCTGTATAAAATTCGAAGATGAAGGGAGAAGTAAAAACGAGATGGAAATAGGCAGTTGCAATGGAATAGAAAGTGACAGACATGTTTTTTGCGGTTCAATTTTAGCTAGTCGCACAATACCTACCTATTGCCACAGTACGACGCTGCCACATTTCCCAAATCTAGCAAATAACATTTTTTGACGCATAGAATTCCCATGATTAAATGATTTTGAATCGAAATTTTCCCAAAATGTAGGGAAAAATATCAATGACTCTAGTCGGCCAATGTGAGAACAAAATTTTGGACAAAGGCGGAGGGGGAGGCTATAAACTTGGTAAAAAAACGGTATTGTAATAATCGACAATAATTGCAATGGAATAGAAAGTGACAGACAGATTTTCCGCGGTTCAAGTTTTTCTGGTTGCACAATATATATCGTCTCATATGAGTTAAACAGTAGTAGGTACCTAAATGCTTTTGCTTAGGTTTCTTGAGATAACCATATTCAGCTTTCATATAGCGAAAAGAGACGGAGGTAGAGTAAAAGCATTTGCTACACTTTATTTATATGACTGACAATAATAGTGGAATGTTGCCACATTTTGTCAAAATCTAGGGAAAAAGATAAATGAGTTTGGTTTAAGTATGTAATGTATAGGTTGGCCATTGAGCAAAAAGCTTTCTGCCAGAGGCGAAGAAAGAAAGTGAAAACGATATGGAAATAGACAGTTGTAATCAGATAGTAAATGATAGACATATCACAATTATTATTATTGTGACAGTGCGACGTTGCCACATTTTTTGAAATTTAGGTTGGAAAAAATCCAAAATCTAAGGAAATAAGTAACCATAAAAAACTATCGTAAGATATGGCAACATCTCTCAAAATTTTCCTAGAAACTAGGGAAAAATATGAATAACTTTGGTCTAAGGTGCCTCAACGTATAAGTTGGCAATTGAGATTGAGAACCAGAGACGAGAAACAATTTAGAAATACGCAGTTGCAATGGGATAGAAAGTGATACCAAATTATCACAATTCTTACTGTGAAAGTGCAACGTTGCCACATTTTTTTGAAATTTATTTAGGAAAAAATTCTAAAATCCAGAGAAAAAGACACATATTACTATTATATCCATAAAAAAATTATTGTAAAATGTGGTGACAAAATCCCTCAATAATAATCTAAAATCTAGGGAAAAAGGCGCATATAATACCGTTACAAAATTATTGTAAGATGTAGCCATCTCTCTCAATATTTTCCTATAATCTAGGGAAAAAAAATATGAATGACTTTGGTCTCAGGTACCTCAATGTATAGTTTGGCCATTGAGAGAAAAGCTTGTCAGCCAGAAACGAAGAGGAAGATGAAACGATTTGAAAATAGGCAGTTAGAAAGTGATAGACATATTACAAATCTTATTGTGACAGTGCTACGTTGCCACATTTTTTGTAGGAAAAAAATCGAAATCTAGGGAAAAAGACGCATACAATGTAAGATGTGGCCACATCATCTAACAATATTTTCCTGAAACCTAGGGAAAAATATGAATGACTTTGGTCTTAGGTGCCTTAATGTATAAGTTGGCCATTGAGAGAAAAGCTTTTCAGCCAGAAGC